AAAAAAAGAAAGGAACTTAAGAGAGCCTCACCTATAGTTCGACCCCTTTTTTCAACATTTTTCCCATTTTCATCTTCTCTCACAAAACAAAAAAAATAACCCACCTTTTTTTCTCACCTGAAGAAACTTAAGAGAGCCTCACATATAATTCGACCCCGGCGGGTACATAGAAAGATCCGGCCACCCTCCGCCGTCGCACCACACGCCGTCGTCCTCGTAGCCCACCTCCAGAAACTCCACCGGAACAACGCCGGCCAGCGGATCCACGCTTGGTCCCGCGCCCGAGTCCTCCATCTGCAGTCCCGGCTGCCCGAACCCGACGGCGCCGGCCACCACCGACGCGAGGCTCCCGCCGGCGCTCCCGAACCGCTCCTCTGTCGTCGGCGGCGGCGGTACCCTCCCGGCCGCCGCGACCCCGACCCCACCTCCCCCGCCGGTGTCTCCGGCTTCCGGCGTCGCCGCAGGCGCCTGGCGCTTGCCGGAGGATGAGGATTCGCCGCCGCCGGGGCGCTTGGAGGCCTTCTTGGGGGTGCCGCCGACGGGAATGTTGCGGAGGTTGCCGCCCCTGGTCCAGTACCTCTTGCAGGTCTTGCAAAAATGCCGCGGCTGAGTATAGTGGTAATTATTGAAGTAGCAGAACTTTGTGTCGGTGGAGCCGCAACGTGGGCACGGCAGCCGCTCAGGCTCCGGCCGGACAGGGAGTTGTACCTGCTGCTTTGGGTGTGGTACCTGCTTCTGCTTCTGTCTCTTTTCCAACATTTCCCCGAAAAAAGATTGGATTTTTATGCTATGGGCTTTGTGGGGTTTGGGTTTAGAAGGAAGGAAGGATGTTGTTATTTTCAACTAATATTCATGATGATGTGTTTTTGTAAGTTTGAGAATGTAAACACAAGAAGAAGGGTATTTATATGCAGATGGATAGAAGGATAATTTGTGGAGTATAATAGTTTTTTTTTAAAATAAAAAAATGTTGAGAGAAATTTGGAGATAAAGTTGTCCCAAAGAGGGCACCATGGGGCAACAGAGCAAGCTAACAAAAGCTGTAACTTGTAAGGGCCTTTGAGATAAACTAATAATAGCAATCAGAAGAAAACAAAGAAGAGAGACAGAGATATAAATGAGCTGAAATTGATCACAAGGCCTGCAAATAAATGTGGAGTTTATCCTTTCTTTTTTGTTTGTTTTTATTTAAGGGATTTTTATCTTCCCCTTTTTTTTTTTAATGTTTTTATGTTGATATGAATGAAAACCCTGCAAATAAATCAAAGCCCAGAATAAGCTCCTCGGAGCTCTCTCTCTCTCTCTCTCTCTCTCTCTCTCTCTCTCTTAATATGCGTGCAGCAGTACTGTGTCCTGATACGGCCTGTGAGCAAGAGAACAATTTTATTTTTTATTTTTTTTTATATTTTTGCTTATGTTTTTTGGAGCTGATCAGCCGTGGGGAGGATGAGCCTGGAAGCTGATCATGATGGCCGGTTGATAGAAGAGATTAAGGATTAAATAAATAAAATAATATATAGTTGTAATAATAATTAGATTCTTTTTGCAAAATGTCAACCTCTCTAAATCTTCAGTCTATTTCTCCAAAAATACCCCTTCTACTGTCATGGCTAACATCAGTCTAATCCTTGATGGCATTTCCACTGTTAAATCTTCCAGATACCTTGGTCTTCCTTTAGGCCTCGGTTCCTCCAAAAAAGCCACCTTCAAATATGTTAGTGATAATGTAAACTGCAGACTTAAATGTTGGAAAAATATTTTCTTAAGCGAAGCAGGAAAAGAAGTTCTTTTAAAGAGTGTTATAGGCGCCCTACCCACCTTTACCATGTCATACTTCAAACTACCCCTATGTGTTTGTAAAGAACTCTGCAGGCTCCAGGCTGACTTTTGGTGGGGATCAAGTGAAGAAGGAGGGAAAAAAATCCACTGGGCCTCTTGGCAAAAACTCGCAAGGCCAAAAGATAAAGGAGGTCTAGGTTTCAAATGCCTAATCTCTTTCAATCAGGCACTTATTTCAAAACAATTATGGAGGCTTCTTAAACACCCTAATCTGCTGATGGCCAAGGTTCTCAAAGGAAAATACTATCACAATTGCTCTCTATGGGAAGCCAATCACAAGTCCTCAAACTCTTGGTTATGAAATACATGGCTAAAAGCAAGAAGCCTTCTGTAAAAAGGAGCCCTGCAGCATATTGGAGATGGCAACACCACTTCTATCTGGTCTGATCCCTGGCTCCTTGGTACCCAAAACAGGTCTCCATCTCCAAGCTTTATTTCTGACAGAAACAAATTGCATAAAGTGAGGGACCTACTGTGTGCCGATGGATCCACCTGGGACAAGGAATTGATTGAACAATCTTTCAGCCCAGAAGAAGCCAATCTCATCTTAAAGACACCTCTGTCCAGAACGGGACAAAAAGACTTGCTTCATTGGCAGCCACACAAGCATGGCCTCTTCACTGTCAAATCAGCATATTCCCTAAGTATTGAAGCTACTCAGACTCCATCTTCAGCTCCAGAATCTAGTAAGTCTAATCTTCTTGAATCTAAAGTCTGGAAAAGTACTTGGTCCCTGAAAATAAAGAACAAAATCAAGACTTTCTTATGGAGATGTTGGTTCAATTACATTGGCACTCAAGACCAGCTCATCCTCAAAGGAATCCCCCTTGATCCTATTTGCAAAATCTGCGGGGCAACTGAGGAATCTCTTGAGCATATTTTCTTCTCCTGTTCTCGGGCTGTTAATACTTGGAAGCTTGCAGGTGTGGATTGGACTAGCTTTCAACACTCGTCTCTGACCTTCAGAAGTTGGTGGACTGAAGTTTGCACCATGAAAAAAACCACTACCTCCAATGACAGAACACACTTCTCCACGTATATCCTTTGGAGATTGTGGAAATGTAGGAACCTTTGGGTATTTAATAATATTTAGAAATCGGAAATGGAGATAGCCACCCAAGCCAGGAGAGAATGGGTGGAGTTTGAGGAGCTAGGCCTCCAATCTGTCTGATTTGGTTTTTCCTTCTTTTTTGATTTGGGAGTGGTTGCCAATTGCGGATGCTAAGCTAGGAACTCATGTTGTTCAGTGGCATAGCACCCTCATGTGCTTCAACTTTGCAGCTGCTCTTTTTTTATCCTTCTTTTTGTTTTCTAGTTTGTTTATCTTTGTAGTTTTCTTGTCTTTTGGTTTTGTGGTTTTCCTTGTACATATTTTCTGGCTTATGTTTGTTTCAGTTTTTATGGGACTCTCCCCTTTCTCTCTTAGCTGCATGTTGACAGTTAAGCTTGGTGCCTGTGTGCACAGCCTCTGTAAATACTCTTTGAGTTTTATCTATATTCATTTCGTTTCGAAAAAAAAAAAATCTAAAGAAATCAAGATATTTTATTCGTTTTGAACTTTTAATGCAAAATCTATACAT